TCATTTAATAAATAAATAAATTTAAATGTGGCAGTAATGATATCCTTCATGTCAGCAATCTGGAGCTTCTCATTTGCATTATTGAAATATTCAGATTGTCTCCAAATTTCAGGTAAGTGGTATTCCCTGAGCAGGATTTTAGTCTCTCTGTCACTGTCAACAAAATAAAAACTTGAAAGTTGTAACCAAATTAGTGAGAACTGCTTTTTTTTTTTTAGCCTGTTTGCTCTTCATTGCATCCCCCAACTGTGCTTGGTGACCCCAGTATACTCTAAAGGAAGTACAATATGGAGGAAGTTAGTGAAGAGACAGGATGAAGGATGTTGAACAGACTACAGTTGTGAGCAGTATTTAAAACAGGTTTAGGGAGTAGTTAGAATGCATAACATTTTAGTTCAATTATAAAATATTTTATTAGTTGTTTGTGCTTAGCTATAACATCTTCCAAATTTATATTAATCTCTCTAATATATGCATTTAAAGATGATAGTGTTTAACACATCAGATATATTTATAAATTTGAGTATTAAAGTAATTCAGACAAGTCATATAATTTTTTCTGATCAGAATATATCATTTATCAATGATTAGTTCCAATAAACCCATAAGGCAGGAGGCATTCAAAAAAGAATTAGAAATTGCACAGAGTTTACGAATGACTACAGAACATGCCATAGATAAATAGAAATGGGTAATGACAGCCTAGCCTCAGAGAGACTGTTGAAATATGTTACATTAGTCATTAATTCCTCTACCACCGTGTACAGAATATGTTTAAAGATTATAATAAATTTCTAATACAACATCCTAGTTCAAAATTTATGTAATCATTAGCAATAGTGAGAAATTGCAAACAAGAATCATGAGCTTATGAATCCATGTATGCTAATGTCCAGGACTTAGACTTCATTGGTTCAGGGAATTCTTTGTCAAGAAGATAGGGTCCTAAATCAATAAAACAGATACTGTTTGCTTCAAGAACTTTCTGTTTTATGCCTGAGAGCCACTTCATCCAAACCAGCAGCTCATTTGCTCATTTGAGCAAATAACTTTCCTACCAGCATAAAATGTGCTCATCTGGACAAATGGTTCACTTACCAAACAACACTACAATGGTCAAGACCCACTAGAATGCCTTGCTGGATCCACTAAGACTAAACTATTATGTCACATATCTTTCTCAGCTTCAACCTGTGCCTCATTGTGGACAGTTCTGTCATCTTGAACTTAAAATATTGAAACTCTGACTCCAATAGAACAAGGTGGCCTTTTGAAGGTAATTAGGTCATTAGAGTATGGCCCCTATGATAGAGTTAGGGTCCTTATAAAAGAGACATGAGAGAGCTTGCTTTCCTCTCTGCTCTCTGCCATGTGAGGCCACAGCAAGAAGATGTCCATCTGTGGACAAGGAAGAGGGTCCTTTCCAGAGCCCAACTGTACTGTCATCCTGACCGCAGATTTCCAACCTCCAGAACTCCGAAAAAGTAGTGTTAGCTGTTTAAGACTGTAGTAATCTATGAGAGCAGCCCAAGCTGACCTAGACATCCACTTTGAATGACCTACTCTCATCTACTCGAATCCAGTTGTCAAGATTTTATGCATTTCTTCTCTGAACCTTTACCTCTTGTCTAAGAAATTATTACCTACCTCTTATTGTGGTGAGTTTAATAAGCTTCACATTGCTTGGTCAGCAGATTACATCAATGGTCTTTTAGGGGACCAGGAACCAGTAATGTAGACTAAGAGTATCTTTAAATTCAAAGGTAAATTTCTCTAATTATTAGAAGGTATTGCTACCAAATCAACCTCAAACTGCCACTCTTACCCAAGTTATCTCCTTAGACTTCAACAAACAACTTCTATAACCTTGTAGTCTTCTTGTCCCATTCAACAGCCACTACCCTTGATCTTTTAGGTGTGGAGAGACATTCATTTATCATTTTCCTGCTAACTTGACAGGGACTTATCCGTGGTGCAAAAGGTCTTGCTCAACTAAAAGCTCTCCTCTGGGCCTTTCCTTACAAACCAGAAGTCTCCTCTCTGAAGTAGGTCACAGCTAACTCAAGTATGGATTCAGTATCCTGCTGTCTGAGTCAAGTTCAAATCTGAGATGTCCTTGAAGTGCTGAACTCCTTGTGGATCCAAAATTGTACTGAGAAGATGAAGTGGAAAATCTGTCAAGTTCAGATGAATCCATCCAGTAACCAAATTTGTACAATATCCTCTCATACCATAAAAGTTCAGATCTGAAAGTCAACAGCCTGAGAGTAAAAGTATTCATTGTGCTTTGTACCAATCTTCCCAATAATGACATCCACTGTTAGAGGATATATTGGCTCCTGGATTCAGTATCTCCAGTATTTATTTCCTAATACCTGTGAAACCAAGTTGCATGTAACCTTGAGTCCTACATAAGGCTGCATGTTTGCAGTTGTAGATTTCTGTTCTCTGTATACATAGTTCATCTTCGTTACAAGGTCAACGATGTTCCTGGACACTGAGGCCCAAGCTTCACTGAAACACCTTCCTACCCTGTGATACTACTTCACCAGAATCGTAAAGACCTTACCTTTCTCTGTGCTAAGATTTACTTTTACCTAGTACGTGGATGTTCTGCTGTTCTAGAGAATAGATGAGTGCCAGTAGAGGGGTTTCTTTTTTTCTCTTTCGGGGAGTGGGGTTTGGTGCTGGCATTAAACCTGGGCTCCATGAATGCTGAGCACATGTCCAACCACTGACCGGCACCCCTAACTTCTCCTGCAGGGTGTTTTAAAAACGCATTAAATATTCAAAGGAAAGTTACAATTTTGTCAAAACTGTGTTACCAAATACAGACTTATCTACAGAAGGTAAATCCCTTTCTCCCAACTGACTACAGTTCTTTTAAAACTCACCTAGACTAGAAATCAAAATACATTTTAAAAGATTCTCAAATCTCATTAATGACTGAGAAAAATGAGTTCCCCTTGCTTCTGCAACTGGCTTAACTGGTCTTCAGGAACTGACCCATTTCTTTGAGAAATTAAAGGTAAGCAAGTATCTTGAAATTTATAATTACCTCTTAAGTAACCCTTCTCCTGGCTCTCTGCTGTCATCTATCTGATTATAATATTTTATAGCTTTCCTTATATGAGTATCCCAGACAAGCTTCTCCTTTAATTTGTGAATGCCATGGAGACATTGACACCATAGCTCACCATGGCCTGTCTGGAAATTCAGCAGTAAAAATCCTACTTCCCTTGCTCAAGCCTCATGGTGGAGTCGTTAGTGTAGTCCTTGCTTTTAAACTCTTCCTTACATTTAATGTTTCCTGTTATGGCTTGAAGGTGACCCCTTCAAAATTCAGGTGTTGACAACATGCTGGTATTAAGCATTGGGACCTTTAAGCAATGTGTATTCCATGAGGGCTATTCCCCCCATTGATGGTACTAAGGCCCTTTGAAAAGAGGCGTCACTCAGCATTAGCTTGTTCTGTGTTGCCCTTCTGTCTTCATCATGTGAGGACGAGGCATGAAAGCTCTCAAGTGCTGGAGTCTTATTCTTGGACTTTCAGCCTTTAGAATTGAGAGAGAATGGATTTCTGTTCTTTGTATGTTACCCAGACTGTGGTGTTCTGTTATAGCAGCACAGAGTGAACTAAATCATTTCTATTGCTTTGGAATTTTTGTCACAGATAATGGACATGTATCAGCAAGTAGGCTTATCTGTTGTGGAACTGTGACCATCTGCCTCACATACCACAGGTCATTGGTGTGACACATCTCATCCTTCTCCTCTTCTCTCCTTATTGGAAGCCAGGGCAACTGGGTCTGCTCTGCCTGGCCCAAGAACTAACTAGACCCTAAAAATACATATTAGATGTCTCCTTCAGAGAAAATCTGGAGTAAATCTTTAGTTTTTTGATCAGTTGTAGTCAAAGAATTATAAAAATGTCAGGCAGGATATTCCATAAAAGAACCCAGTCTCACTCATAGCAGTTCTAAATAGATTGCTTCCCTCAAGTGAGGACAGTGATGGCACTTCTCCAGAACCTCCAACTGACAACTGTCTGATCTAGGCAGGCAGTCTACACCTAGGATCCATATGACCATGGCAACAGAGGCTTATGCTTTAATTTGTGTGCTTTTGTTCTTTACATTTTTGATATTTCCTGCCTCTCTTCCTCTGGAGTATGTGTGTGTGTGTGTGTGTGTGTGTGTGTGTGTGTACGTGTGTGTATGCATTATTGAGATATAACTCATGCTATACACTTCATTGACTTAAAGGATTTAACACACTGTTTTCTAACATATTCAGAGTAGTGCAACTATCAGTGCAATCAGATTTAGCACCTTTTTAAAATCACTCCTGAAAGAGGGACCCATTTGCAGTCCCTCTTCTTTTTTCCTTTACCAACTCCAACTGTAAATAACCAGAGCATCAGTGGTTATGTCTTTCTAGGATTCTGTTTTGCACATTTCACCCAAGTGTGAGATTTCTTTCACTAGGCATAGAAGTTGTACATGCTTGTATTTCTCAAGCCTTTCATAAGTCCATAATTTGACGTTAAAATAATGTAACTGAATGCAGAAGGGTTTGTAGGAGATCTATGGCTGCAACTCCTGTGGGAGTTTTCCTGGATCCTGGGTGCATTTCCCCAAGGCTGTCATGGCAACACTCTGAATAAGTGTCAATGAAAGGGAACCAGTGTCTTTCTGGAAGAAGAGAGAAGAACATAGTTGATGATCTGAGACTCTAAGAGAATGAGTGGGGCTACAGAGATATCTGTGCCTCCTCAGTTTGGACGAGGGCTGCCCCCACTGCCCAGTGTCTGGGAGAAGTAGCTCTTTGCTGCAGGTGCAAATTTTGTATAATTACAATGTTTCTGTTTGACAGATAGCCATGAGCAAGTCTGATTTTTTTTGTCTTTTAACCAGTTTTATGTGACATCTCAAAGAATAAAACAACCAGGTTTACATTTGGGAAAAATGTTTGAGGTGATCTGTGTTTTTTCCTTACAGCTTAATTAAAATGGGAATGAAAACAGTGATATCAGAGAAAAGTCAGCAGAGCTCTGGATAATTCATTTCATGGATCATCGTGACTTGGTAAAGTAGAACTTCTTTCAAATTTAAAAAAAGTCAAAGAATTGTCACAAAGCCATTTTTTTAGTACATAGGACCATATGCTTTCAATTCCAAATTATCACTCACTGTCCGTTTTCACTCATCTTATCTTGAGGCATTTTTACTTCAGTAGGTCATATATCAAACTATGAGAACTGCCCTGATGGGCTTGTCCCTCCAAGCAAATTGTCTCTAGGCTGAAGAAGGGCAGAAGTAAAATGGGATCAATGAGACCATAGATAGGACAGTGGTTCTTTCCTGTTTTGCCCTGTTTCATTACTCGTCAATGTTGTTTCAATGAGTAGAGTTAGCTTGAAAGACTTTTGAAAGGATTCCTATGACTCTGGGTTCTTCTGACTCTTGGAGTCTTACTGGGTATGGGTCAGTGTGGGTATGTGTGTGGAGGAGTGATGGTGAGTGTGTCTTTGGTTTAGTTTTTACAATCTATGATAAGAAGTAATTTAGGTCAGGGACCACTGAAATTATGTTAAATAGTTTCACCTAATTAAGTGACAGTAGTACTACATTATTTATTCTGATCTGCCAGTAAGCATAACAGCAGTGAAAGACAAGGAAGGAGAGCAGCTGTGATGGGAGGGCATCAGACTAAACTGTGGGAACCTGGATTCTGGGCCCAAGTGCCATTGTTCTAGTGATGCTGAAAGCTGCTTAAGTTTCTAATGTGTTAAAAGGGATGTTCTCTGAGGTACCTTCGGGATCTAACATCCTACACACTGAGGAATTTAGAAGGTGGAAGGGAAAGAGGAGGAGGAGGAGGCAGGAAAAAAAGGAGAAGAAAAGGCAGGCAGGAAGGAAGGAAGGGGGAGGGAGGGTGAAGGGGAGGAAGGGAAGGAGAAGAGAGGGAAGAAAGGAAGGAAGGAAAAAAGAAAAACAAAAGACCCTGAAGAGACAACTTTCTTGTACTAAATGTGAAACTGATAGTGAAAAGGAGTACTAAGAACAGAAGTCACTCCACGAAGATGGTGTTTGCAAAGACGGCCTATATATACTCCCCTCCCCATTTCCTCAGGAGCCTATGCCATTGAAAGGTCGTGAATCTTTACGACAAACTGCTGTTGCTTTCCTGTTTCTGTTATTTCGGTAAGACAGGAAAACTAGACACCTAGCCATGGAAATCATTCAGGTGGAAAATAATTACAGGATCTTCTCTAAATCTGATGGCCTTTTAAAATGACTACCAGGCTATCACTTCTGTGTTTGGACATTATTTGTCCTTAACATATTTGTTCACTTTTATTTAATGCTTTGCCAATTAGAATACCAGAATGAGTAATGAAAATAATTACACTAACGCATTTAAAGACCTTACAAAATGTCTGTGCAGACTGTGAGTTCACCATTACTAGATTAGGACAGACTATCTGTCAACCACATACTATTGTAGCGTACAACATGGCTGGGTAGAAAATAAAATAGAATAGGAAGAACTGTAAATTAAAAATCACAAAGAAAATGACAGAAACAAGATCTTATTCCAAGAGAGTTATCCTTAAAAGACTCAAGTTTGGATTAGACCACAGATAAATTTAGATGCACATTATTCAGATACATGCTCTTTACAACAAACTTGAATTGTAACAATTCTGAATATAATATCAATGATCAAAAATGTTGAAGAAATCGGGTTTGAAAATATTAATGAGCGCTAAGGAGTCCAGCATTTATTGGTAAAAGATCAAGTGCGTCGTTTAAAACACATAAAGGAAAGGCAATTCCTACATGTATGCCCTGGGGAACAGAAGCGCAGAAAATCTAAGCCACTCAGTTCTGTGTAACGAGGTTCCCTCACTAACGTGAATGTGCATGAAAGGGAGGAAGAGAGCTGTTGAAAAGGTAGTGTGCAATGTCACTCATGAAATGAAAAATTGTTTCATAAACAATGGGAAAATAACTTACCACAGTCAAAAAAAGAGTATATCCTAAGTACCTAAAAATAGTTAGGCAGACGATTGAAAGAAGGTGGTGGGCAAAGAAGATTAAAACACAAGGAAGAAATGTACACCCATAAGGCTAGCCATAAGCTTGCAGCCAAGGTAGATGAGTGGGCAGAGGGTGCCCTTCAAGTGCTTGCCATGTCTGCATGAGGCCCTGGGTTCCACCCCATCATGGCAGAAAATAAATAAGAAATAAAAACTGAAGAAAATGAAAAACCAATGAAACAAGTGAAGGAAGAAATAGCTGACAATAGAGATGTTGATACTGACCCCAGGTGGGCAGCCAGTGAGGGTGAACTTGGTGATTGGAATGAGGCTGTGGCTATGATAAAAAGGGTGAAAATGTCACAGAGGAAGTGACATTGTAAAACACACAGTCACAGGTACATATATGCACACACAAACCACGTTAAAAAGACTCTCAGAATGGCTCTCAACTGAGTTGGGCAGGGGAGCACTCCATAGCAAGCTGCATGACGGGGAAGAAACGAACCCTATTCAGGCTTTGTCTCTTCCTATGGTGGTTTAGAAATGAAGCATGCTAATTACACATATTTCCAGATTTAAATTACAGTATACTAAATACCCATTAGTTTGCCTGTGTACTAGTAACCCACAGAGAGAAGACATTTAAAGGCCATGGGACAGTCCTACTGTCCTGTTGGCTGTTAAGATCAGTGCATAGGCCAGGTGCTGTTGGCTCATGCCCGTAATCCTAGCTCCTTGGGAGACAGAGATCAGGAGGATTGCAGTCGGAGGACAGCCAGACAAATAGTTAACAAGACCCCAGCTCCAAAATAACCAGAGCAAAATGGACTGGAGATGTGGCACAGGTGACTGTTTTGTAAGCACAAAGCCCTGAGTTTAAAATCCCAGTTCCACTAAAATGAAAACAAAAGATCGGTGCACAGCTGTCACAAGCGTTGTCATTTTTGCAACATTGTGCTACTGGGTGGAGTGAGGGCAGTGCTCCACAATTCCACTCCAGGTGCCCAATAAGAAATGCACCCTTACTTTCTAAATAACTGCTGCATTCATTGAACCCACCACACATTCTTAAGAAGTTCCAGTGGGAAAACAGTACTTCTGGAAGAAATATGCTAAAGGATATCTCAACTTTAAACCTAATGATAGCCTAAAATAAGAAGCTAAGAGGAATTTTCCCATCAGTGATGACTATTATTTAACACAGCCACAGATGAAGGGGAAATTATATTTGTTCAAGGTGGCCTGAAGACTACTTAGAAAAAAACCTATTAGCAGCCAGGCATGCTGGCTTACACCTGTAATCCCATCTATTCAGGAGGCAGAGACAGGAGGATCACAGGTGGATGCTAGCCCTGACCAAAAGGGAGGTGGGTGTGGTTGTACACATCTGTAATATCAGCTACCCGGGAGGCAGAAGTAGGAGGATCATAATTCCAGAGCAGTCTGGACAAAGTTGTTGGGGGACCCTAAAAATCAACCAGATAGGGGCATGAATGAAGTGGTAGAGCACTTGCCTACTAAGTACAAGGCCCTGAGTTCAACCCCCGTATCACACAAAAGAAAAACCATACTATAATCTACTGATAATCCATTACACTCCACAGAAAACTTTAACATACCTATTAATTTCTGAATAAATATATAAAGACAGTGCTCTTTGTATGCCAGTAACAACCAGGTAAAATCCCTTATTTCAGTAAAAAACTTCTATCTGTTATAGCAAAATTCTTAATCTAGGAAGCTAGGAAATTATTTGAAATAAAGATGACAGATTGAATATCTAATTTTTTTAAATATAAAAGACAATCTCCCAAAATATGAATAAAAATGGCCAATAACTATTTGAAAAAATGTTTCATCATATTAAGCTAATTGAGATCGGTCCAGGAGAAATATTCAGTGAGAAGCAGGTGTGGTAGTCCTGTATGTAGAACAGAGTTCAGTTTCCACTCGGGATTTCTATCCATAGACCGACCTCAGTGTGTATACCCCTCCTATTCCTGTGGTCTCACAGGAGAGTATGTAACAAGGGCAAACTGCTTCCCTCCCTCATTTCCTTCCTTCCTTTTTTCTGAGACAAGGTCATGCTATGTAGCCCAGGTTGGCTTTGAACTGTCAATCCTCCTGCCTCCGCCTTCTGAGTGCAGGGATTAGGCATGTTTCACCATGATCAGTCCAGTTTTAACTCTTTTTCTTAGGTCACCCATCCATTTTGAGTAACTTTTTGGATATGAAGTTAGTTGGACTCCAACATTATTTTGTTTATATCCAGTTGTCCCAGTGTGATTTCTTGAATAGACTTTTTCCTGTAATAATTGACCTTGACACATCTATTGAGATAAATTGGACATAGATATTTAGGGTTATTTCTGGGTTCTTAATTCTATTTCATTGATCTTTCTGTCTTTCCCTATGCCAGTACAATACTGTTTATTATTGCAGCTTTGTATATGGGAAGCTCATGAGTCCTCCAAATTGTTTTCTTGTTCAATGTTGTTTTGGCCATTTGTGGTCGCTTACCTTTCCACATTGAGTTGGAAGAGCTGCTTTTCCATTTCTCTAACAATAGTCATTGGTGTTTTGATAGATACTGCATTGAATCTATGGATTTCTTGGGGAATATTGTCATCTTAATGAGATTGTCTCCACTCCACGAACTTGACATGTCTTTCTATTCAATATGTCTTCAATTCCTCTGAGTCATATTTTGTAGTTTTCATTGTATACTTTCACTTTCTTGGTTAAATGTATTCTAAACATATCATTCTTTTTCATGCTCTTGTGAATTGGTTTTCCTTACCTTCATTTTCAGACTGTTTATTGTTAATGTATGCAAATGTACCTGGTTTTGAGTGTTGATTTTTTCCCTGCCTCTCTGTTGAGTGTGTTCAATAGATCTAATAGTTCTGTTGTGAGCACATTGAGACATTCTACAGCAGAATCCTGTCTCCTACTAATAGAAATCTTTTCCAATTTGATATCTGTTATTTCTTTTTCTTGCCTAATTGCTATGGCTAGCAATTCCTTTACCATGTGTAA